GCAGTAAACGCCATCAGTGTTAGGATGGCGTGGAAGGGTAGGACCCAAATGCAGACTATCAAAAAGGTAACAGGTCTCGTAACAAAAAGCGAGCTTTATTTTAAAAGCTGATCAAAACAAGGCATGAAACAAATGGGTTGTACAAAAAACTGACCATGACCCACATGGAGGGAGACAGGAGAGACAACCGTGACTGACATGGAGGAAGACAGGAAAAACCAACAATGAACCGACAGGGGAACACAGGAAGAGACAAGACTAAATACAGGGAGGGGTAATCACAAGACAAGACACAGCTGGGGTAAGAGAGGCAGAAACACAAGGGCAACAGGTGAACACAATCAGACAATCAGACACACCAGGGGAACTAATGACAGGAAGGCAAACACAGGAAGAAGGAACAGAGAAGACACAAGGAGGAAAACATTTCAAAACAAAAAGGTGGAAAATGAAAACATAAATACAAAACCGTAACAGAACCCCCCCCTCAAGGGACGGATTCCAGACGTCCCAAGAAAACCCCCAAAAGTCCAAAGAATTCCAGCAGGGTGGGTGGAGGGGGTCTGGAGGACGGGTTTGGGCTGACAGCCCAGGGGCACAGCGGAGGACCCGGAAGGGGTCTCGGGCGGACGGCCCGGGGGCAAGGCAGAGATCAAGGAGGGGGTCTCGGGCGGACGGCCCGGGGGCAAGGCAGAGTTCAAAAAAGGGCGAAGACCACAGCGGGCGAACTCAGGGGGCCGGGCATGAGAGCAAAGGCAGCGGCTGAAAGCGTCAGGAGGCCGGGCTCGAGGGCGAAGGCCACGGCTGGGGAAATCAGGGGGCCGAGCTCGAGGGCGAAGGCCCCGGCACTCAGGGGGCCGGGCTCGAGGGCGAACAAGAAGGCGTCGACGGGACAGCTCCGGAGGCCGGGCAGGAAGGTGCTGACGGGACAACTCCGGAGGACGGGCAGGAAGGCGCTGACGGGACAGCTCCGGAGGCCGGGCAGGACCCGTTGTCGGCCAGACAGGAACCGGAGCCGACGGAACAGGCGTAGACGGGATCCTGGACATGACATGGACTGGTGTCAATGGGACCCCGGATGGAGCAAGGGCTGGTGTCGACTGGACCTCCAACGGAACAGGACACAGAGTTGGCAGGACCCCCGGTGGAACAGGTGTCGGCGGGACCTCCAACAGGACAGGACACAGAGTTGGCAGGACCCCCGGCGGGACAGGTGTCGGCGGGACCCCCAACAGAACAGAACATGGAGCTGGCAGGACCCCCGGCGGGACAGGTGTCGGCGGGACCCCCAACAGGACAGGACATGGTGTAGGCAGGAAATCTGGTGGAGCAGGTGTCGGCGGGACCCCCAACAGGACAGGATCTGGTGTTGGCAGGAAACCTGGCGGAGCAGTAATCGGCGGGACCCCCAACGGGACAGGACATGGGGTTGGCAGGACCCACAGCTGAACCCCCAACGGCACATGACACAGGGTTGGCAAGACCCCCGGCAGAAGAGTAGTCGGCGGGACCCCCAATGGGACAGGACATGGAGTTGGCAAGACTCCCGGCAGGAGAGTAGTCGGTGGGACCTCCAACAGCACAGGACATAGGGTTGGCAGGACCCCCGGCAGAAGAGTAGTCGGCGGGACCCCCAACGGGACAGGACATAGGATTGGCAAGACCCCCGGCAGAAGAGTAGTCGGCGGGACCTCCAACGGCACAGGACATAGGGTTGGCAGGACCCCCGGCAGAAGAGTAGTCGGCGGGACCTCCAACGGCACAGGACATAGGGTTGGCAGAACCCCCGGCAGAAGAGTAGTCGGCGGGACCCCCAACGGGACAGGACATAGGATTGGCAAGACCCCCGGCAGAAGAGTAGTCGGCGGGACCCCCCAATGGGACAGGACATGGAGTTGGCAAGACTCCCGGCAGGAGAGTAGTCGGTGGGACCTCCAACAGCACAGGACATAGGGTTGGCAGGACCCCCGGCAGAAGAGTAGTCGGCGGGACCCCCAACGGGACAGGACATAGGATTGGCAAGACCCCCGGCAGAAGAGTAGTCGGCGGGACCCCCAATGGGACAGGACATAGGATTGGCAAGACCCCCGGCAGAAGAGTAGTCGGCGGGACCTCCAATGGGACAGGACATGGAGTTGGCAAGACCCCCGGCAGGAGAGTAGTCGGCGGGACCTCCAACAGCACAGGACATAGGGTTGGCAGGACCCCCGGCAGAAGAGTAGTCGGCGGGACCTCCAACATCACAGGACATGGGGTAGGCGTCGGCCATAGAGCCAACAGGACACGGGGTGCTGGAGTCGGCCGGACCACCGACAGAACACGAGGGGCCGGAGTGGGCCGAACCACCGACAAAACACGGGGGGCCGGAGTCGGCCGGACCACCGACAGGACACGAGGTGCTGGAGTCGGCCGGACCACCGACAGGACACGAGGTGCTGGAGTCGGCCGGACCACCGACAGGACACGAGGTGCTGGAGTCGGCCGGACCACCGACAGGACACGAGGTGCTGGAGTCGGCCGGACCACCGACAGGACACGAGGTGCTGGAGTCGGCCGGACCACCGACAGGAGACGGGGTGCTGGAGTCGGCCGGACCACCGACAGGACACGAGGTGCTGGAGTCGGCCTGACCACCGACAGGACACGAGGTGCTGGAGTCGGCCGGACCACCGACAGGACACGGGGGGCTGGCGTCGGCCGGGGAGCCAGTACTGGAGCCGAAACTGAAGTCGGGACCATGGCTGCTGGGACAGGAACAGGGGCCGGAACCATGGCTGCTGGGGCCGGAACCATGGCCGCTGGGGCCGGAACCATGGCCGCTGGGGCCGGAACCATGGCCGCTGGGGCCGGAACCATGGCCGCTGGGGCCGGAACCATGGCCGCTGGGGCCAGAACTGGGGATGGAACCATGGCTGTATGGGCCGGTTCTGGAGCCGGAACCATGGCTGTGTGGGCCGGTACTAGAGCAGGCACCATGGCTGCTGGGCACGGAACCGGAACACGGAACCATGGCTGTGTGGGATGGTACTGGAGCACGGTACCATGACTGTGTGGACCGGCACTGGAACACGGAAACATGACTGTAAGGTCCGGTTCTGGAGCAGTGACTATGGCTGCTGGGCACGGAACAGAAGCCTGGACCCTGGCTGTGTGAGCCAGGTAATGGAGCATGGAAGCATGGCTGTGTGGGCTGGTACTGGTGCACGGATCCATGGCTGTGTGGGCCGGTACTGGACCACGAGCCGGCCTCCCGACCTTGCGTTTCTCCGAGGCCCCCTGGAGGCTCCGTGGACCTCCAAACGCCAGGCGGGATCCCAAAAAAGGGCCAGAGAATGGAGCTGGAACCACTGGAGCACGGGCTGGAATCTTGGTCTTGCGTCTCCTAGAGATTCTTTGGAGGATCTGTGGGCCTCCCCAGGCCTGGTCATACCCCAGGAAAGGGTTAGAGGCTTCGGACAAGTCCTCAGGACTACTTGTGAAAAGTTGTAGCCACTCAGGCAACATGCTCCTAAGCCAGGGCTGGCGAGCAACCTCCTGACGTGCCTCCTTCAACGCAGCCTCTCTACCACGTCTAGAAGAGGCGCCATTCCAGGTATAAAAAATGTACTCCAGAGAGTACCCAAGACATTCTGCCTGTAGAGCAAAACGATCCGAGTCTGCTGAGTCCAAAGCTGGTCGGTTCATTCTGTTAGGATGGCGTGGAAGGGTAGGACCCAAATGCAGACTATCAAAAAGGTAACAGGTCTCGTAACAAAAAGCGAGCTTTATTTTAAAAGCTGATCAAAACAAGGCATGAAACAAATGGGTTGTACAAAAAACTGACCATGACCCACATGGAGGGAGACAGGAGAGACAACCGTGACTGACATGGAGGAAGACAGGAAAAACCAACAATGAACCGACAGGGGAACACAGGAAGAGACAAGACTAAATACAGGGAGGGGTAATCACAAGACAAGACACAGCTGGGGTAAGAGAGGCAGAAACACAAGGGCAACAGGTGAACACAATCAGACAATCAGACACACCAGGGGAACTAATGACAGGAAGGCAAACACAGGAAGAAGGAACAGAGAAGACACAAGGAGGAAAACATTTCAAAACAAAAAGGTGGAAAATGAAAACATAAATACAAAACCGTAACAATCAGAGGGTGAACATGGACTCAAGCCTTTGCCTTGAGAGTAAAATCCTTTTGAGCAGCTAAAACAAAGCGTTTGAAACAGGTATCTAGACACAAAAAAAATAAAGTTTGTGTAACATTAAAGCATGTACAATTGTTTTACTGGAATACCCAAAGTATGAAGCTGGAAGTTTGTGGTATGCAAGTAGGTAGAAAGTATGAGCCGTAGGCACGTGTGCTATCCTTTACTCCATCTTTATTCTTCTTTATCCAACTTCCACCTTCAGGCATCCTATATCAACTCTCTGTCCAACAGCGGCCTCTGGCTACAGTAACAGGACACAACAAAGTTAGTGCAATAATTCTTAATAATATTGTTTTTGTTTATGGGCATGAATTTGGTTTTCCTGCTGTGTATCACCAGTCCTACGCCTATATTACTCTATTGGTCTTTCCTTGTTAATCCATGTGCAAATGTAAGTAAATAAGCCTGATATAAAAAAGCTGTCCGTTCCATATCCACTTTGCATTAGGTCGAAAGTGCAGCTAACTAACGCATAACGTTAGTTAATGTTTAACCTAATATTTAATGTCAACAGCTGCACATCTACAGTCTCATTCCAAAAGAGAAGAACAGGGAAGAGACAAGGATGGAAAAAGTTATTCTGATCATCATCGCTCTTTCAGGCAAGAGTTGTATATATTTTTATTTAAAATACTGCATGTTATTCCATTAGCCATTTTTAGTACTTTGTATTGTGGTTTCCCTCTGACAATTACTTAAGTTGTTTAACTTACAGTTTAACTTTAATGTAATTTGGAGAACTTGGTTCAGTAATTGATATTGAATCTAATCAAAATGTCTGTGTCTCTACAGGGCTGAGCGCTGTCTCCTCACATGCTGAACGTCAGTACCATTTTGTTTATGAAGCAAAGACCATGTCTGAAGCACAGAGATACTGCAGAGAGAAACACACAGACCTGGCCACTGTAGACAGCATGGAGGTTGTGGAGCTCCTGAACGACATGGCAGGCCAATACAAACAAGTGAGGTCACTTTTCTCTGTGTTTCCTTTCAAAGCTATTATGAATATTAGGTAGTTATAATAGTATATAGGTTCAAACGTTTTTAAGGCTTTGCCTACATAAAACACTTATAACTTAACTGTAGTGCAAAATGTCCCTCTTAAATGTAGTAGAATATGAAGTGTTTTTAGTATAAACCTCCCCTGTTGTATTTCACCAGACAGAGTTTTACTCTGAGGAGTGAGGGTAACAAAAGGAGGACATTTTGTATTAGAAAGACCTTAATACATCAGGATTAATTCTTTATTAACACAATGAATGTTGCTTTCAGTCAGCCTGGATAGGGCTGTACGATGACCGGGACAGCTGGAAGTGGTCGATGTCAGACCCAAGCTTCTACGAACCGGGGAAGATCGAGTTCAGACAATGGGCGTCTGGAGAACCAGGCGCCTGGCACCATGAACAATGCACATTTGTTAATTCTGGTGGAACATGGGGTGATCAGGATTGTAATCACCCCCTCAGGGTGGTCTGCTTTGATGTCACAGGTAAGAATATAAACTTCAAGTTAAAGGGGACCTATCATGCAAAATGCACTTTTGCACGTCTTTTATACATGAATATGTGTCCCCGGTGTTCCAGGGAACTCACCAAGTGTCAGAAAACACAACCCTCTCTATTTTCCTCCATACCCAAATCTCTAAAAAAGGGGCTGCAACGGATCTGATAAAAACTGATCCAGATTTGAACACTGTCCTGACGTCAGGACAGTGGCGCTACGGCTATTGGGCCAACTCCACCAATCAGGAGGAGACAGCCACGGCCATTGCCGTTCGAAAGCGCTGGAGACGCTGTAGTACATATGCCAGGCCTGTAGATGGTGCTGTTCTCACAGAATCTGCCCTTGCAAAAACAGACCTAAAAAATGTCAAATTGAGCAAAATGAGGCATGACTAAAATGCATGATCTGTTTGGTATTTTGAAAAAAATATATATAAATATGCCTTATATAGGTATGGTCCTACACTATATTATTCAAATATAGCATGATAGGTCCACTTTAAGGTAGTATCTGAAATATAAATGGTCAAAAATGGTACATTCTCCGTTAGCTTACGAGCTCCATGTTCAAGCGATCAACTATTCCTTCGCAATGTAGCATCACATTGGATATGCGCTTAAATTGCCCTAGATTGGAATTTTTCCAATAATTTCCCTATGACGAATTAGCAAAAATGTGCTTAAAATGCATGAAAATCGCAAATATTAAAAAATGGCCGACTTCCTGGGGGGCGGGGCTAATGGAAGGCAATGTGAAATATATGTGCAATCATAATAGTAATGTGTATACAGCATTTCGTGTTTGGAGTAATTTGCGACATGTAAATCGTCAAAAATGGTGTATTCGCTGTTAGCTTACGACCTCCACGAGTGATTTTTCAAAAATATGCTCCGCAATTAAGTATCATATTGGATAGGGGCTGAACTGGTCCTGGATTGGAATTTTTCCGATCATTCCCCTAGGAGGAGTTTGCAAGAATGTGCTTAAAATGCATGAAAAACGCACATTTTTCAAAATGGCCGACTTCCTGGGGGGCTGGGCTAATGGAAACTATTTACAAATATGTCCGCAATTCCATGAGGAATGTCTGTGCCAAAATTCGTGCAGTTCTGAGAAACTATATGTGACTACCACACAATAGGGGGCGCTAGTGAGCAGTTTTTTTGAAAAATTACGTTTTTTTTTTATATTCTCGAAAAGGTCGTGGGCTTTGACGTGTGTCCCAAGTTTTGCGTTCCGAAGCACATTTTAGCATATCGTCATAAAAAAAAAAGTACAGGCCACGCCCAAATTTGTCATTCGTTGCAACCAAGCGGCAAACTCTGGGGAAGAGCCGGGACGCCAATGCGGAAGTGCCACAAACTGCAGTTCATATATTGGCCGATAGGCGCTGACTGCAGAAAGGAGCAATTTCCATAGAGCCCCATGTTAAAATGCCCAATTTCACAGCCTAAAAAAACATGTTTCTACCTATGGATTCAATAAATATTATTATGAATATAGTTAGATTCCACCTTCATGATTATGGATCTGTGAGTGAATTGTTTTCTAACACGACCCTTTTATTTATATTAGGTCTTAAAGTTTTTGCATAAATTAGGGCGTGGTCACTTTGATGGACAGGTACGTGCCTCACTGTCAGCTAACAGCAATTTGTCCACTCTGCTAGGCTACAACGTTAGTTAGTTGTAGTTGCTGTACTTGACCCTTTAGCCGTGTTCGTGGTGATTGTGCCTTTTAGGGAATATTGTTACAAATACCAGACAATTGAAATGTAGTGCTGTGCGCTTGAATGTACTAACAGACCTTCCAAGAAGTCTACTCTCAGCTTTTTTCGGTGAGTAAAATGATAATATTATACATGTTAATCCCGTTAGCAGGTGTTTGTGTGCTTGTTAGTTTAGCTTGTTATGTAGCTTATTATGTAGCTTATTAGCCAGCTAAGGACGCAACCCTTTATACATGTGTATATATATATATATACAGTTTAGTTTATGATTCAGCCTTTTATAGTATATGGCTGTGACGCCCATAATGCTAAACGGGAGCAAATGTTAAAAGGGGACCCAATTATCCCAGTGGTGGCCGCCGGAGTCCACGCCGGCCGAAGCTAACGGAGCCGCAGGGGGCTAGCTCGCTAGCGCGTCCCGGCGGCTCCGTTAGCTTCGGCCGGCGGCGGAGTCCGGCATTATAACTGGAGATCAAGGAATGCAGCGAAACGCAGACTTGGTTCGCCTGCAGCCCGCTGTAGTATTAGCTAAATAAATTATGTTGAACAAGGCTTATTAAGCTGAACATCGCCACAATTGTTCTGCTATGTATCGGTACTTATTTTATTTGATTAACGTGTGAAGGACAAGCATTAAAAATAACAACAAATAGCTCATTATCTTGCAGATTGTCTCGTTTGATTATGAATGTAACGTTTATATAGTGGAACTACACTGTTTTATCAAAACCAAAGTGCCACGCAGTAACTTGGTATGCATGTATTTCAGCAGGAAATGTGCATTACCAAATTGGTATCAAATAAACAGTAACACAACAGCATTGGTAACACAACTTCCAAAGTTACAGTAAAATAAAAAGAACCCTGACTCGGACAATACACAATCCAACATGTTCAACAGAAGAGAATAAGTTATATTGTTTGTACACATGGTTCTTTACATATATATCTGTTTGTTTAAAGTTTCCAGGTGATGCAGACAGGATGGACCAGAGAGTGAGAGACAGAACTGGACTCCTCACAGCAGTGAACTTCAGCACAGGTACAAATACTCTTTTTTCATACTGTACAAAGAATCAAGAAAGATATTGGTTTAAATAAATGAAGTATTGACTTTAATACACTGATATACATTCCATTAAACAATACTAAATACTAGATCACCTACACATCAGTGAAGTTGAGGGTTTTTTTCCATGCAAAGGGTTACATTTAGATGTTAACAAGCAATATGACTGTCAGCTTTCTAATTTAAGGTATTGAAGGCAAAGCTATTAGTGACAACTGCTATTTATCTCTCAATATTGTCTGTAAAAAACGTGGTAAAAGTTATGATTTCAGTGAGAGAACAGAGCAAGCTTCTACAGTTGCACTAAGTTTTGATAACAGTTAAATATTATTTTGATAATAAAATATATTTCAATGTTGATGAATTTCATACTGTTCATTCATAATCTGATTGTCTTTGTAGCTCACTGTTGAAATAAAATAAAACATTACAATTACAAAATAATTATATCTACAGCCCCTAAACACAAACACACCTCTTTCATAAATAACACACTTGTTCTGCAATAATATGTTTTATGTTTCCTGTAATTTTTGTTAGGAAAGGACATGCCTGAAAGACACGACTCAGCATCTCCTCTTTCTCTGAGGGTCAAGAAGAACATCCAATAGGAAAATTAAAAGCTGATGTTATGAGATGTTAAGACCAGTACAGGACATTCACTAAGAAACTACTTTTATTGTGAAGTCAGCTGATCGAATGCACCTATTTCCACATCTACACTCCATCAGCTGATTAATTCTATTTGCCTCACTTTATGAGCTTCACAACATGTACCTTGTACCGCAGAGTTTGCAACGCAAATAAATGGGGCCAATCTTCAGTCGGATGTGAATGTGTAATCTAACATTTTCAGTAAGAATAATGGACAAAAGGAGTGCAAATACAAATTCAATTTATTGAAATCTGAACCAAAAGTTAATCAAACATGTTTTAAATAAAAAAGCACATATGGACAGAAGGTGTAAACCTATTAAATGTATAAGTAAACACATTTAGTCAAATAAAGTGACAGACTAGGCCTGATCAGGTGGTATCAGCTATGCATGGGCTCCTCCATCAGGCCTGGTCCTCCTCGCTGAGGAAAGACCCTCAGTCCTCTCCGGCCAAACCAACAGACAGGACGTCCATCACACGGAGGTTTCTCCCTGAAGTCTCTGCAGCTCTCTGGACACCACGCTGTCTCAATCCGTCCACACTGAATATGAGGGGGAAATGAAAATAATAAATGCTTTAGACAATAAGAAATATAAAGTTGACTGTTGAGTTGCTCAGTTTTTTTAGATTGTCAATACTATTACTGTATAAATAATATCTCAGGTTAAGAGGCACCTTCAAATAAAGATTGGTCTTTAAATACATTTTGTCTTTTGTATTGTTTGTCTAAAGTCAAGGATCTAGAACTGGTACTTATAGTTTTAATGATACAGTCTGGTTATAATGCTGTTTGGAGGAGGCCTCACAGGTAAGAGCACTAACTAGCTACCATCACATGCACCTTAGCTTAACTTAAATGTATTAAACGTATAATTAAGTGATAGCAAAATATAAATAACTAATGTCATGCAAACATATTAATATTTTCTTGATTCCAGTGTTGCATTTAGCACATTGCATACAAACGTTAAGGGATTTTAAGATTCTGAAGTATTATGCTAAAAACTCAATAACTTAGATTATTATTTATAGTTTTGCTGAATAGTTTCATGTCCGCTTACCTTAGAAACGTAAAATGTGACGGCAGTGTGCTGATGGGGAAGCATGTTAGCTTAGCTTCTTAGCTTGAGCTAGCTCTGTTACTTCCCAGCTGGAGGCAGAAGGTCCCGCCTCGGCTCCGCCTCTTTGCCCTTATTTGGAGCAGGATGTAGCAGGCGGGAGTTAGACTCAGACGTCACTGTCGAGCCGTTAGTGGCCGACTCCGCCTACTAAGGGCTTCTCGGCAACTCTGCAGAATCCTATGGGTGACGTCACGGACCCTACGTCCATTTATATATACAGTCTATGGTTGCAACACTTTAAATATAAGTTCATACTCACCCCCAGAGTATGTCTAAAAAATTAAAAAAATATTTCGTCCATCAGTTCTTGAGTTATACATTTGTCATGTTTTTGGCACCCCCTATAGTCCAAAAAGAAAATTACTTTTTGTGCCTATTCCCCAATACAGACTGAACCTTACCACCAAAAT